AAGCGCGAGCGGCCCGCGGGGGGAGGTTGTGTCCACTGCGCGCCGGAATCGGACCGAAGTTTTGATTCGGGCCAGCGGATGAAGGCGATCGAGGGAGAGGCGGCGTGCAGAGCGGCGTGCGTACCGAATTGTTCACAACGCGCCAAAAAACGAGCGAGCGCGCCCATTGGGCCGGGCGGCGGCGGGCGTTGATGCGAGGGAGTATCTCAAGGCCGCCGTCGGATAGCCGCCGCCCCTTTTTTTTTTACTTCATTTGCAGTTCCTTTTTTTTTCTTTTCCCTTTTTCCATCGTCGGTTGGTTTCCTTTTTTCTTCTTTTTCTTTCTTTTCCCGTTGCAATCTTCTGTCGTGTTCCCCGCTTTTCCGTCGCATTCCTCTGATTCCCCTTTTTCCATTGTCGGTTGGTTCCTTTTTTTTTTCTTTCTTTTTCTGTCGTGTTCTCCACTTTTCCGTCGCATTCCTGTGATTTCCCTTTTTCCGTCGTCGGTTGGTTCCCGTTTTGTCGCATTTCGTATGTCGGGTTGCCCCTCCTTTTGAGTCGGCGACGACAAAAGCAAGTAGGCCCTGCTGGCGGCAGCCACGCACCCACCCACGCACGCACGCACACACACCCACCCACCCACGCACGCACTCACACCCACCCACCCACCCACCCACCCACGCACACACACCCACACCCACACTCACACACCCACCGACCCACGCACACACACCCACCCACCCACCCACGCACGCACGCACGCACACACACACATTAGTATTAGTATATATACATATATCAGTATTAGTGTATACAGTATTTGCCCGATGCTATAACCACTATGGTGGACTGGGTCCCTGTCTGTTTTGGGGGACTGCTGTCTTTTGAAGTGTATCCGACGTCAGGCTGCTGGCACGTCAGGATGTGCCTGTGTGTCCGAACCCTAACGTCGCGCAGGCAAGTTCGGGCCAAGCATTTTCAAGCGTGAAGTTTGACGATTTTTCACGCTAAAAAAAATTGGCAAAAAAATATGAAAATTTTATATCCTATAGATTAGGCCGTGATCTTTCCAGGAAAAATATAAGAAAAAAACAAATAAACAATTTAATGGTGAAGTAAATGCCGCGCTGTTTTGTCACATTTTCTATTTTTGCTACAGTAACTCTACCATGTATGGGCCAATGGGAAAAGAAACCCAACGTTCGCGATTTTTTGCAATCAAAAGGATGACCCAACAACTCTGAAACTTGGAGGGCCTAGAGATTTGGTTGTGATCTGTATAGGAAAAATATTTATAAAAAAAAAAATAAATCATTTCAATAGCAAAAAAAAGCGCGGGGGTAATTCAATGCAAATTTTAAATTTTGCCACTATGCCAGCTCCCCCCACTGTACTACCGGTAGCCCTCGTGGACCTGTGGTCCTGTGCTACCGGTTCCCCCTAATTTTTTATATTTCTTTTTTAAAGGGCGGCAGTCTTTAGATATATCCACAGGTGACCAGGGGCCTAGAGGGAGATCCCACTAACGATGTATGTGGAGTGGTGTGACGGTTGCGGGACCAACTAGCAATGCGTAAAACGGTGTGTGGCGCCCGTTTTGCATTTAGAAACATTAAAAAAAAAAAAAAAACCGTTTTTTTTTTCCCCAGAATTGCGAAGTATTGCAAAGTAAAGAACCTTGCGTTTTGTTTCTCTTTTTTTTTTTTTTTTTTTTTTTTTTTTTTTCTCAATTTCACCTCACACTACCTACCTACCGCTACTCCTAATTGTAGGCATACGGGGAACCCCATAGCAGCCAGAACTGTGTTCATGAGAGAACATGCGGGTGCTGCTCCCGACCTGCAGGTGGGCAATACCGGCTAGGGGACAGCCGGTAGCATCAGGGACCATGCCAACAGGA